ATGAAACTTGACCACTACCTCTCACCATATACAAAAATTAACTCAAAATGGATTAAAGATTTGAATGTTTAAGACCTGAAACCATAAAACTCCTAGAAGAAAACATAGGCAATAAACTCCTTGACATGGGTCTTGGCTATGATATTTTGAATCTGACACTGAATGGTAGAACATATTTGCAGATCATAGATCTGCTAAGGGGCTAATATCAAAACATTAAGAACTCATACAACTCAATGACAACCCCCCCGACAATCCAATTAAAAAATGGGCAGAAGATCTGAGTAGACATTTTCCCAGGGAAGACCTACAGATGGCCAGTAGGTACATTAAAAGATACTTACAATACATCATTAATCATCAGGGAAATGCAAATCAAAATCACAATGAGATACCAGTTCACAGGTTCAAACATATTAGAAAGGCAGTTATCAAAAAGATAAGAAATAACAAGTGTTGGTGAGGATGTGGGGAAATAGGAACCCTTGTGCGCTGTTGCACACATACATGACCTGGGAAGTTAACATAAAAAAATCATGCTATTTAGCTTATCTTTCAGTTTTTGTTGTCATGTTGGGAACAATAGTCCCCTCCAACCTTCTACGTCCTAACCCGAAGTGGAACTGTTCTTTAGTTTACTTGAATATTGAAAAAAAACCCCTTTAAAATGAAAAAACTATCTGATACAGGCAGAGCAGATGCATTTTATTCATCAAGTTACATACCAGTTATTAGAATGTATTTCCTCAGATATGAAAAAGGGAAAAATAGTGGTAGGAAAATGGTGTAATTTTTGTGTCTCAGAAGGTCTCTGTTACTCTGCAGGTTAGAATGTGTCATCTCATACTAATTGAGATGCAATGTAATACCATTGATAGAAATCCAAGGAGAGGGTAAGTGAGCTATTCTTTTGAGCAGTTTGGTTATTGTCCCCACCTCTTGTTACACAGCCTTCCCTTGTCACATTTCTCTTTCACTCCATGCACCTGGAGTATCTTCATGATAAATTGTTTCATTCCGTGAAGCTTACCATGAAATACCCTCTGACAGAGGCATTTTCCAATTGTTAATTATCATATAAACCATCACCACAGGACACTGTACCATCACCATCCATCATGCATCTTGACCAGTCTTTCTTGTGTTTAAAAATTAGTACAGGTGCCTGGGTGGCTCAGTCGGTTAAGCATCCAACTCTTGACTCTTGATTTCAGCTCAGGTCATGATCTCAGGGTCCTGAGATCGAGCCCCGCTGTGAGCTCTGTGCTGAGGTAGGGCATCTGTTTCAGGATTCTCTCTCCCTCTCCCCATGCTTGCTCACTCTCTTTCTCTCTAAAACAAACAAATCTTTAAAAAAATAGTGATATTGAAAAAAAAGGGTAATTACTTTAAAAACTTTGGAACAATTTCTAGCAGACACAATGGACGTGTCTGCTATATTGACTCCTAGGCAAGTTATTTTCAACTCTGGTGTCTTCTATACATGTTTGGCCCTTTTCTTCTCAATTTTCAGAAAGTGGTGAAAACTGATGAAATATTTTGTAAAGGACTTTGTTTTCCTCTTTAATGCTATGTGCTGTCTTTGAAAAGTAGTAACAACAAAGTTTTCCCAAAGATTACCATTTGGAGAACCTACTGTTTCTTAAATCCATACAATAAGGAAAATAGAGTTGAAATCTCTTTGTGTGGGTTGGCATATATTTGGCAGATAAATAACTTCATTACATTTTTCCCCCTAAATGCCTAGGTTTATCTTTATTATGGGCAGTCACAAAAACTTGATGTATTTTTTTAAAAAAGTGATTTAATACTGACTTTTAAAATTGTATAATGAGTGTTTACAAGAGGTCAGCGGTCACTAGATTTTTGGTATGGTGCTCATTTAACAGCATCATTTTCTCAGGTCCTGAGACTGAGTTTGATTTTCTTGGCCTAGATTTCGAGAGGTTTCAAGAGGTGATGAGTGCTGAGATTTGAGGCAGGTGGATTCCCTGAAGCATTCAGCCTAACAGCCCCAGGGAGTGGCATTGCCTCTTGGTTAATTTGTTCATGGAGCCTCCCTTTGGGCTAGTTTAGCAGGATTATCCCTATTTTTGCAGATTAAGAAAATGAGGTGTGAGGCATTGAATTGGTTCTCATCGAAAGTGTTGGCGGTCAGTCCTGGAGCTCAGAATTGTAGACCTGTAGTCAGTTACTCCATTTGTAGACTTTGGCATTATTATTTCAAAGATGTATTTTCAAAGCAACAACTTTGCTTTCACTGAGCTCATTTTTATAACAAACAGATTCATATTTTTTGAGTCATGTAGGTTTTAACTTGAATTTGACCCAGCTGTGGTTATTGTCCTAGTAAACGTCATGTGGAATTGGTGAACTTGAGTTAAATCACGTATAGACTTACTAGGTTCACATGAAGCATTATGGGCTTTGAAAAGTGTTTATTGTGGCCATCTGTGACATAAACACAATCGAAAGAAGACAGAGACACAGGGGTATTTTGGAAAGCACCTGTGATTTGCATCCGAAGACCAGCCCTAGAGTCCTGACTCACCTCATTCTAACAGAGTAAACATGATTATGCCAGTTTGCCACCTTTGGCTTTAGAACTAGTTTCAAGAAAAATGTGAGCCAAATATTTATTCAGTTCTCTCTCTACCTACCTACCTACCCACCTGCTCACCTGTCTAATTTCCACTCAGGGAATGACTCTTCTCTCTGATTAATTAGGCTTACCTACTTCTCAGGTATCCAGATAAACTGGGTTTTTCCGAGACAAGTGTTGAACCCAGTGAAGAATCCAGGCAAGAGATCAGCTGTAAGCATGTCCTCCCTTTATTTCTTGGTGGTTCCCAACTGACCAAACCAATCAGGAGGATTATTAGTGTGCTGGGTCCAAAATGAAAGTTTGCATTTTGAATTAATACTTTTTCATTTGATTTGGTCCCCTAGTTCTAGATTCCACAGCTAACATTGGCTAGCCATTGATCAGTCACCAGTGAAATCCATTCCTGGTACCCAGGGTCTGAGAGGGAGTACCTCACGTCCCAACCCTGGGTGTCCATCCCTCCCTAACTAGGTGTGTTGTTGATACTTAACATTATACTCATATTTCAAATATTATTTATTTTTAAATAAAGGCAATATTATTTATTTTTAAATAAAAGATAATATTATTTATTTTTTAAAAAAAGGCAAAGGAAATTGTATGGGCCAATAAGAAAATTTATAAATTTTAGAGACATATTTTAATTGATTATTATGTTTTCCATTATCAAAAGCCATAATTCTCTACATTAGCACCACATGGCCAATCCCTCATGCCTGAAAAGGGTTCTGGAAAAATTTCCCTTATGTGCAGTTGATTTGGCTTATTTTTGTGTGTGCAATTGAAGTTATTATTTGAAATGCCAATAAATGCACTGTAAATTAAAAATAGTACTTTTTCCAAAAAGTTTCAATTGTGTACAATGGTCTTTTTTTTCCAATTCAGATATATTGGATTATTTTTTTCAGATTCTATTATTAGTATATCCGAAAACAGCCTCGTTAATTTAATTATAATGACTCAAAGAAATATATATTTAAGGTTAATCTTCAGTTCATCTGGTTAATCATGAACATTTGGGGAAAATTTTTGCCATGGTGAATGAGGAAAATAATTACTATTCAAAACAAGTGATTTGATTTAATTCCAGTAACAACTTATATACTCAGAATTATATGATTATTTTTTAAGGCGTGTATTTATGAATTTCTGTGTGTTATGTTTATAGATATGTATGCTCTAAATAAAAATAACACATTTTAGCCAATTCAACAAGAATTTTGAAGTTATTTGTTTATATGACATGTTCACCTTCACCTTTAATTCAAGAATCCAACAAGGAAGGTCTTAAATAATCAAGGTCAAGAGGCAAGACATTGGAACGAAATTACTAGAGTATGAAGTATGTGCTCAGTACCTTACTAGGGAATATTGATGGTAACACCAAAAGGACATAGTAGGGACAAACAATTGAAAATCAGATAAATAAAATATGTCATGTGTCAGATGATGGTAAGTGCTCTGGGAAAAACCAGCAGGGAAGGACACTGGCAGCAGATGATTAATGGATCCAGCAGAGGTAGCTGGAGACAAAACCAAAGTGGGGGTTAGCTTTAAAAAGGGCTTAAGGTTCCACCGGAGACTGGCAGAGCAGAGAAAAATGGTGAAGAGGAAGATGAGTGGGTTGTGGAGGGAAGGGAGCTCCAGGGGCTTCATGCCCGTTGGCCCGAATTTCCTTAAGTTCAGAAGGAAATGATCTGCTGAGAGTGTGTCTGCAGTGGAATTTTAGAGTTCAGCATGAGGGGTAGGGATTCAGGAAAAAACCCTATGTAGTTGACTAGGGAGGAGAGGGCTGCTGGAAGCCCAAACCTGGCCTCAGGCGGAGGGGGCCCTGGGGGGCCTTGTGCTTCTTGCGGTGTATAGCCTGGAAGCAAAGGCTAGAGAAAGTGGGCTGATGGAGAGGGGAGAAGTGGAATCCGTGGGGAAAATGGGATGGGGTCATGTGGCTTGGGGGGGTGGGGCTGTATGGGGTCATGTGCGGGGGGGGGGTGGGGAGAGAGGGCTAGATTCAGCCCCAGAGAGGAGTATGCCTGGCTGGAGGGGGAGCCCTTCAGAGTTCCAGATTTTATAAGATTACTTTGTTTCTGTGTTGCAGAAAGCAGTGTTTAAAATATTGCCTTAAAATTCTCAGGATAGGCCCATTTGTGGGCACAGATCACGAGCAGTAAGCCAGGGCTTAAGGGAAATTCTTCTTGAGAGCTTTGTTAAGGGCCTACGATAGTGCTAGAAAGCGAGCCTGGAGTGTTTATGTAATTGGGGGAAAAAAGCGCAAGTTTTTAACAAAGGCACAACAGGTCTCAGCCCGTTTCTGAAAACCTGTAGTTTTAACTCCTAGAAAAAAGACAAGAAAACCTAACAGACACTCAGTTATGTGCATTTCTTTGCTTTTTTAAAGGTGAAGCCGGTAATGCACAGCAGAATCAACGTGTCTGCTCGCTTTAGAAAACCCCTTCAGGAGCCCTGCACCATCTTGTAAGTTGAAGACTTTTACCTTGAGGTTGGAAGGTTGCTTTCCTTGTGGTTTGGAATTTGTTTTGTAGCTTTAAAAGTATAACTGTTTCAAATGGCGTGGCTGGCTGGTTTTGCTTTTTTTTTTTTCCAGCTTGATTGCAAATGGAGACCTCGTAAGCCCGGTTTCTCGCCTCCTCATCCCCAGAAAAACCTTGAATCAGTGGGATCATGTGCTACAAATGGTCACAGAAAAAGTAACTCTGAGGAGTGGGGCTGTCCACAGGTACGCCCGAGTCATCTTCTCTGGGTGGTTGGGTTTCCGAAGTGTGCAGGAGAATCCCAGGACGCTCCAGAGTCAGGGGTCCCCAGTCTGGCTCCAGAGCCTGTGCTCTTAACTACTAAAGCTATTCTCGAGAAAAATCCCATAAATTTATCTTTCATTATATATGAACTATCTGTATTGCCTTTGCATATTTATCTTATTGATTTATAGACACTCTTTACATATTAGGGCATCTGGCCCTTTCTCCTATGAGTTTTAAATATTTTCCCGTTTGTATTTTTGATTCTCTTTATGTTTTTTTTTTTTTTGTGTGTGTGTGTGTGTACAGTTAAGTTGAATTTTGGTACAGTCAAATTTTCAGTCTTTTCTTATGATCATTAAGTTTTATGACTAGCTTAGCTTTTCCTCATTCCAAGATTATACAAATATTCTGCAGTGTTTTCATCTTGTACTTTTAATTTCATTTAAACCTTTGATCCTTCTGGATTTATTTTGGTGTCAGGAGTGAAGGCAGATCTTAAAAGTTCTTTTTTTTTAGATATACAGTTGTGTCTTTTGACATATACATAAATGTAAACCCACTCGATAAATAATATAAAGCACCCAGAGACACACAGTTGCATGCCCAGATATACCTGTTCATACATATACTGATCTGAACAAATTCACACATGGAAATAAAATATATGCAAGTATAAATACAGAAATGAAAATATATGTTCCCCCACTGCAATATTTGAATACTTGGAGAAACTTAATTCTCAGTGTAATGCCAGATATGAGTGAGATTTGGTTGCTGGTCGCTTGGGACATGCCCATTTTCCTTTAACAGAACATTAAAAAGTCTTATGGTTGGACCCTCCCTGTGCCTCAGTATATTTATATATCAGAAACATCCCATTAAAACCAGTTCAACTCCCCGTTTATGTTTCTTTCCCTTTGCAAAAAAAGGAAGAAAGCAGGTCAAAGTCCTATAAAAGAAGCCTAAAATCGTGGGTTAGAATTTATTCCGTACGCTTAACTACCTGCAGAGGAAACCAGTCAAATCTTGGCTATTTCCAGATCCACAGTGATTTGTCTTTTAATTTCAAGCCATAAAAGTTAACTACTGACTCCGATCTTCCTGTTTTGAAGGAAAATGAATACCTGGGTCCAGGCCAGTGGTTCTCAGCTTGGGATGATTTTGCCTCTAGGGGACATTTGGCAGCATCTGGTCATTTTTGGTAGTCACACTGGGGATGGGGCAGCTACTACTACCATCTAGTGGGTAGAGGCCAAAGGTGCTATTAGGAGCACCTACAGTTAGTTCACAGGCAGACCGCCCCCCCAACGAAGAATTATCAGATCCAAAATGCCAATAGAACCATTGTTCAGAAACCCTGGTCTAGGTTAAGGAGGGAAAACCAGAAAATCTGGGTTAAGTGTTGAGAATTAGAGTTGTAAGGATTGAATTACAGTGTTATAAAGAGGGAGCATCTTTATATTAAATCAACCCAAAAACATTTCAGGGTTTTTGTGGTGGTTTTCTATGTATTTCTTGGCTCCTTTTGATATGGCCATTTACATCATCAGTGAAGAAGCAGACAGATCAATGCCTTTGTCTTTTTTTTTTTTCTTTGCAAATGTCACTAACCTTTATTAGGTAAGATAAGAAGTCTGAGAATTTTTTTTCTAAATGCTTTTTTTCTAAATTTGTTCCAGTCACGAACTCTGGTTTATAACCTTCAAAAATAGGCATAGCCTTTTTCATGGTGTTTTCTAATAGTCGGCTATTTCTTGTTCTTTAGAAAAAAAAATTCTGGGGACACTTTAAGTCGTCTAGTAAAGTTATCGCTGTTCTTTTAATAAGTAACATATTCATTGTTGTCTGCGGCAGCAGTTTTACAGTAAAGGGAGGTCCTTGTGAAATCCCTTGATTCTGGGAAGATGAAGGGAGGCAAAAAAGAAAAAAAAAAAAAGAAGAGGCATGAATGCTATGCAGTTCTGCATCATTAATCCTCTCCATGGGCTCCTTTGCCTCTTGTTTTCAGACCCTGTTCTGTGTGTGTTTGGATGTACTGTTTTGGCTGAGGGCTCTTGCACAGAATGCAGTAAGTCTGTCAACCTGACAAATACATTAAGAAAATAAATTGTAAACGTGCTCACAAAATAGAAGTAGAAGGACCGATCTTCAGCGGGAGCTGAGTCCATTTAAAGCACCATGTTTGGGCGCCTGGGTGGCTCAGTTGTTGAGCCGTCTGCCTTTGGCTCAGGTCATGATCCCGGGGTCCTGGGATCGAGCCCCGTATTGGGCTCCCTGCTCTGAGGGGAGCCTGCTTCTCCCTCTGCCCCTCCCCACCCACCCTCTGTCTCTCATGAATAAATAAAGAAAATCTTAAAAAATAAAATAAAGCACCACATTCTGTGCGAGTCAGGGCTTTCCGTCTGAAATCTTACTGTGGCAGCAGGAGACGGTCCTTCTGTTGGGTTGGTAGGTTGATTGGGATGAAGTACTTGTACACAGAGAGAGGGTAACTGTCTCTACATTGTAACACTGGCATTTAGTAGAATCTAATGACTTTGAGGCATTTCGAATTCAATAATTAGCATAGTAACAAATGAGCCAACTTAAGAGAGGAATGCTTCTATTGAACTTTGTAATTTTAAGTAGCTCTTCCATGCTTGTTTAAATTTTAATTGTGGGCATTCATGTTTTGGCAGACTTTACACATTAGAAGGAAAACTTGTTGAGAGCGGGGCCGAGTTGGAGAATGGGCAGTTTTATGTGGCTGTCGGCAGAGATAAGTTTAAGAAATTGCCTTACGGTGAATTACTTTTTGACAAGTCCACCATGAGAAGGTCCTATGGGTAAGTGTTCATCCTCATTCACATCTCCTATTTTAGTTAGCACTTGAAATAACATTCTTATGCTGACCACTGGTATATCTTATATAATCTTGCTCATCAGTTAGAATGGAAAGCACGTTTGATATATATTGATTTTATTTATTTATTTATTTTTGCCATGATTGGAGATTGGAGATTTTTTTTTTGCACAAAAATATAATTTGGGGGGACTCTATGAAAGGTTATATAGCATTTCTTTTAACCATTCACTTACAAATTCACAGTAAATATAAAGATTTATTTTGGTGAAGAAGATACAGGGCCAAGGGCTTCTATACAGCATACATCATTTGAAGTTTTAATAATGTCTCCGCTGGTTAGCTAGACCAAATAGTTTTCAGTTGGTGCATATACGAACATCTACAAGTGTTAAAAAAACATAATATTTTATACTCCTTTTAATAATAATGAGATAAATATACAATATATAAGCAATATAATTCTCCTTGTGCAAGTAAGTAGAGCAGCAAGAAAGACTATAATTATTATATGCAAAATTTTGAAGATTGCACTTTTAATTACACACAGTGCACTGTGACCCTTTTTCTTTAGGAAATGTCATGCATTTGTGAAAGTTGCCTTATTTCCGCTGAGCAGAGGGCTGGCCCCCGGCAGATGCAGGCACCCCCTGGCTTGCTCATGGTGGGTTTTTTTTTTTTTTTTTTTTTTTTTACCACCTGTGCTGCTTTTCCCACACGTTCTGTGGCCACTTAGCTCTCAGAACCTGACTTTTCATGGCTGTCCTCTGCTGGGGTGTGGGTTACTTGCACAGAGATAGCAGAAGGTCACCAATTTGTTCTCCATTAATTTGCAGTTTATGAAGCCTGATGGAGAGGCTGGTCGAGGGTTTCCAAATAAGTAAGGGATGAAATGGACTTTCGGGGCGGTGTTTGGAGTGGGCAGCAGCATACAGTTTTCCAGCACTTTAGAATTACTTTCCAGCAGACTTATTGATGACCGTCCTTAGCCATCCATAACGTCAAATCCTTCACGATCTCTGCTGAGCAACACTGGATTCACCTGCTGTGGGCTACAGTGTGTTCTCAAGGGCAATGAGAAGTCTGTAGCTCTTGGTGGCCTCTCTCTGACAAATTAGTTAGCCACACCTTCATCTGTGTGTGGTCTTATTTTCAGAGGGGTCAGTGGGTTCCAAGATAGGTCTCTTCCTACCATCTGTGGGACAACATTCCTACAGCCAAAGAGAATTTTTATTTTTTATTGAGAATGACCGGTCTAGAAGCTCACTGAATGTAAACGCCGGTGTTTTGCCTTTCTGAGCTTCTGACATAGACACTGCAGATGTTATAAAAACAATGGACATTTATTGTTTTTGACTCAGTCTGGCAAAACCATCACTGAGATTAGGAAGTGACATTTTGAAATGCATCCAGAAAGTTTGGGGATTTGAATAAAAATGCTGCAAAAAAAATTTAAGGTGGTACTAAAAGTTTATAGGGAGCATCAATGAAAATTGTTTAATGTTAAACATTAAAGATCTTTGGGACTGGATTTTAATGATTTTATGGTGGTCTTTGTGAAATCGGGAAAGTATGTGGTACTTTTTGTGAAACACCTGTATCCCTTAAGCAGATGACTTGCAGGTTGGGATGACAATTATCTTGCATTATGTATTATTTGTCAATAACATTCAGATTTCTAAATTGCGATTTGTTTCCACAGTCAGAAAGCTTCTTCACTACCTCCTATTGTAGGATCCAGAAAGTCTAAAGGGAGTGTAAGTATCAGATGCTTTACTCATTAAATATTCTCTATTTCTATATGATACAGAGAGACTGTCCTTTGGGTTTCAATTAAATTTGAAGAGATAAAACTTAGCTGCCTTGTGGTATATGAGCAATTATGTGAAACAACGCTAGAACATTAACGTTATGGTTACGGTCTTCGAAGTGAACTAACGCTTTTAAAATAGAGCTTCCAAAGTAGGTGTCTTTTTCCTTGCGTATACACAGTTGAAATCTGGGCAATGATGCATAAAAGTAGAGGAAAGTTTGGATTAGGTCACATTCGTGGTCTGCTCAGTCTGGTTTTGTATCTCTGACAAAGACTAAAAAAAGGACGTTTTTGTAAAAAAAAAAAAGCAATCATCAAGTTATCTTCCTTTCAAAGACTGAGAATCACTCTACGTCATTCCCTATCAGAACTTTTTCCATCGTGATTGGTCCATGCATTTGTTAACTCAGCGAATGTCCATTCAGTACCTCTCCTGGGGGAACTGTGGCAGGCGTTTAGTAGGTGACTTCATAACCTGTTTGTATTTTTGGTCCGTACCCCTTCTCAGGGAGTGGTGTGATGCCAGGCTTGGAGGGCCACTTTGACAGGTTTTTCTGGCTGAGGCTTCTCTCTCTCTGCCCTTTTGACTGAGCTGCCTGCCCAGCGGTGATCAGAATTGGTTTGGCATTTCCCCCCAGTCTGCACGCTGCCCCCTGATTTAACTAAGCAGACTTCTTCCATTGGTATTTCGTGACATAAGCAACTGCTGGGTGATGATATGTCTCCTGATGATGCTTTAGTCCACACCCCCGCCCCAACCTTTTTGTATATCATGCAAAATTCTTTGGAAAAAAAAAAAGAGAAATCATTTTGTGTGATGTAGTGCTGACCTCAGCATAACAAACAACAGACATTTATCACCCATTCATTAGCTGAGGCTCTTGCACTGTTTATGACCAAGCTTTGGCCCTCAGGAAACATACAATCCAGTTGAAGTGGAGAACAGAGCCTGAAAAGGTAACTGACGAGCTAACGCTGAACAGTGAGTTTGCGGTGAGATTGGTAAACGTGAGAGAGAGGGAGTCAAAGGTGTGTTCGCCAAAGTACACGAAGGAAGTTGAATGTGAGCCATGCCTTTGAGGGTTGTTTGCGACGGGTGAAGGTTGATGAGGGGAAGGGGTTTCAGATGGAAAGGATGGTGTGAGAAAGGAGCGAAGATGTGCTCTCCGAGGGGCAATCATGGCATCTGCACTTAAACATGGAAGGGGAATTCTGCACAGACAGTAGAAGGAGCACATCCAAAGGCTCCCATTGAGTCCACAGACCCTGTCTGGAGGGAGCTCACGCTCATGACCCTGGGGGACGGGGAGTCCCTCGGGTTGACTGGAGCAGGGGATCCTTCGTGTGTGCAGGCTGGTTCGCCTGGAGTGGTAGGTGGTAGCAGTTTCAGAATGCCTTGAATGTCAGACCCAAGAGTCTAGTCCTTATCCTGGAGTAGAGGGCAGCTCACGAAGGCTTCTGAGAAGTGGGAATGTGAACCCAAGTCTGTTCTAGGAAGGTCAGATCTTTTTTGTGGGGAAATCCTTAATGTGTTGAGAGGCCACGGATGAGAGACGTCTGTTGCGTGGCCATTGCAAGCAGGAGCCTTGGCATCAGATGTAAAGAGCTAGGCTAGGAAGGTGCCTATTGCTCTTGAAGAGATGGAAGACTTCCTTGGTGATGGGACACAGGGGTTAATGGAGAGGTTGGAGCCAGGGATAACTGCAGGTTCTTGAGCGTGGATCACCCAGGAAATAGTGCGACCCTGGCCAAGAAGAGGGCAGTTGGAGGAAATAATGACCTGCCTGATTTCAAACATACTGAGTTGGAGGTGTCATCGCGGAATCTAGTTGAAAGTGTTCAGCAAGCAGCTGTAACTGGTGGAGACCGAGGCCTGACGAGGACCCGGGGCGCAGATGGCAAGTTCATCCGCGTAGCAGTCATAGCTGGAGAGCAGACCCATCCCTCTGCTGTTCCTTCCTGGCCCCCGGCCCAGCCCGGCGGGGGGCAGCCCTCCTCCTGCTGTCGAGTGTGATCCTGGAGAGAGTGCACACAGACTGCCAGGGACCCAGCCCCGAGGCAGGCAGACAGCACTGGTCTGCAGAGGAGGAGAGAGAATGTTCCAGTGGCTCAAGGATAGATTTTAGCCGCTACCAAAGCTGAATAGAACCCGTGAATGTAGGGTCTGGACATTTTGTCCTCTTGCTCTTCTTTAGGACTTTGGGGACAGAATCTCCTTGTCTACCCCGGGCATGAGTGGGCTCATCGATTCCCACGATGCTGCTGCAAGAGTGGTGGTCGAACAGAGAGACCCAGTGGACTTCGTAAGTGCCCCTAGGTCAGCCGGGAAAGTTGGTGTCAGAACCAAGACTATAACTCAACTCTTTGCATTCACAGTTACCAGACTTTGGAATTACGGGCTTATTATTCTGAAGTTTGGAATGGACTACATTTTTTTTATTCAAAATGCACAATTTGTTTCCTGCTTTAAAATTCATGTGCAAGAGGAACATCCATCTCGCTTGCTTGTTTGGAAGTTATTTAGAATCTGTGCAGTGAATGCTGCTTCCTCTAATGGTAAATGGAGTTTCCTGTGTATCTGGCACGGAACGGAGCCCCAGGGAAATGGAGATGAGCAAACAAGACATGGTGCTCTGAGCTCAAGGTACACTTGGGGGAGAACAAGGTTAAACTAACAATTCCAGAAATCAATATATAATTACAAGGTGCAGTAGGAATGAAAGAAAGGTACAGAGCAATATGAGACAATGGAAGGAGAACCTATTTAGGTAGGCAGGTCAGGACAGGTCTTCCCTGGGGAAGTGACCTTGGAGGAAAGACTCAACATCATGACATGTTTCCATCTCCTAGAAAGCAAAGACTCAAAATTACACGTCCATGCTCTGACTTAGAAGAATAAAATGACGGTAGAGTTTGCCTCTTTCCACAACACTCCAAAAACATTCTGTCTATTCATCCATCTGTCCATCTGCTCGTTCAGTTAGCCATTCGACACATACTTATTGAGCTGTTACTAATGTGCCAGGAGCCACTCTAAAGGACCAGCTCACAGTGGCCAACAGATCAGGTTTCAGACCTCACGGAACTTTCCTTTTAGTGCTTGTGAGTGTGTGTGGAGCAGCAGGGGTGGGGGTGAAGTGGGAGAATGGGGGTAGACAGACTATCAATCTCTAAACAAATGTACACATAATTTCACATGGTGCTAAGCACTAGGAGGAAAATAAAATGTAGCAAGGCATGAATTGATAGAAAATTCTCAGAGACCTTAATGACCTAAAGAAGCCAGTCCTGCAAGGCGGGGCAGGACCGGAAAGAGCATCTATGGCAGAGGCAAGGGTCACAAAGGCCCTTGGTAAGGAGCCTGGCATCTTGGCATGTGAGGAGGGCAGGAAGAAGGCCAGAGTGGTCTGAGATGAGATTGGAGAGGCACGTAGGGCCCGGTCTGTAGACACTGTGCTAGGAGTTTGGATTTTATTCCTTGATGGGGGACACCATCTGAGGGTTAGAAGACGAGAAGAAGAGAGGGATATTGTTGGTCTTACATTTCTGAGGGATCACTCCGGCTGCGGTGTCTACAGAGAAGCGGGTCAGGGGGAGAACCTAAGCAGGAGGCGGTGGGGCGCTGGACCCAGGCATGTGACGCAGGTGACCTGGGCGCCTATGACGAGTCCTCCTCGAGTATTTTGTAACTGTTGTCTCTGAGTGGTGCATTCAACCAATAGGCATTTACTGAGTGCATGTTATGTCCTGGGCACTGTCGTAGAGCTTATGGGAAGAGGGAGGCAGTGAATCTAGAGAAAACCCTGAGCATATGGAGCGTGCATTCTAGGGGAGGAGAAAGACAAATACACAACACACTTGGTGTTAATCGGGGATAAGCTTGAAGAAAAACACATCAAGGTATAGGAAGAGGAAGTGAGAGGGGGCTGTATCATCTGGGTGGTCAGGGCAGCCCTCTTTCAGGATGTTATATTCGAGCAGAGGGGCAGAACCCGCCTGGCACATGGCAGGGGCTCACTAACCCTGTGCAGTGGGTGTGTGAATGCCCGGCAGTGAGGTGCACAGAGGGACCATCTCCGTCGGCAATTCCAAAGTCACAGACTTGGTTTTTTAACTGAAGGGTTATTTTACTCCTGTCCTCTAATTGATTGGGTCCCTGGAGAATGTACATGTTTTTAAAGATTGTTAACTGCTTGGCACCGAGTGGGGGTGTGCGTGAGGGGGCTGGGGGAGACCTAGCCCGGGACTGAAGGGACCACCCCCGAGTCAGCAGGAAAGGCACCCCTAAACTGGTGATACAAGTCAAAGGGGATGCAGAGCTGGGTTTTTAGGAATTCATTTCTCGCAGGGCTTTCTAGGAATCGCTCTGGTGCATAAGGAAGGGGAGTGTGGGTGGGGGCCTGAGAGAACTTAGTGGGAAAAAAGGAGAAGCTGCAGGAGTCTGCACAGGGGCCCCTGCTGGTGGGTCAGCAGCACCCACCCTTGTGGTAGGGAGTGCGGGTGATGAGGGGGCTTCTGGGCTCAGGCAGACCCTTCCAGGGCAGCTAAGGAACGAGACCACAAAGCCATTCCCTACACAGACTCCTAGCGCTGGGGGATCACAGACATGAGCAAACTGAGAGTAATTTAACCTGCGGTTCTGGCCTTGAAAACAAAAGGAAGATAGAAGGGAATCGTGTTAAATTCTATTAAGTGAGAAGAACCACCCCCTTGATCGGGAGACTTCCCTGGGGCACACCACGCAGGATCAAGGCGGCCCCTAGTGGAAGACGTGTAAACTCGGAGATAGTTGAAAGGTAAAGCCTGAGTTCTTGTTCTTATTACCACGTGGCCGATATAGCTCGTGATCAGTTTACAGACTCAAATCTCGTCATTGCTAACGTTCTGGTGAACAACAACAACAACAAAACCAACATGATTATCCATGTAACACAAGGTCACTGTGAAGCAAGATAAATTCCAGATGCTCCCAAAGCTCCATTTTGCCTTTTGGGAAACCGAGTCTGGTATGGATAAAGGGGCTTTTTGCACACTTGCCATCACCAGATACATCGGTGAGAGAAATACCAGCCTGAGTTTGGGTCCAGCTTCCTGGTCAGGAGTCTTCCTCCTGGGCGCATCTCCGAAACACGCGGAGGCGGAGGCAAGACCCTCCCAACATTATCTTAAACTCGATGTTTTCCGGCCTTGGGGCCTTTGGCACGTGTCTATGGGGGCTGGGGCTGCATTTCCTGTCGTAAAGAAAGACACCTGAGTTGAGTGGCTCCTGTTGGAAAGAGCCTGGGGAGCTATTAAAAAAACCCGAGTTTTAATAAAGTCGGGGAGCTCGAAGGGCTCCTTTCAGAGCTGTCAGATGCACTGCTGTGTGGCGGGCGGGAGGCAGGGCAGCGGTCCAGGTCCCGGGCGTCCAGTTCCCGCGTGGGACATGCTGCAAAATCAGGCCCCTGCTTCGTCGTCTTCCCTTCGGTGTGTAGCCACAGTTTGTCACTTCCTGGTGGCCTTCTCGGGGAATCATGCCATATAATAAATATTTGCAGTGCCGTGGCATCAGGAAGCTTCCGTGTAGCAGAAAAATCAGACCTGGGGAACCTTGAGAAAGTTAATCCCCTATATCTGCAAAACGGTGACAATAATACCATATTTGTGTTAAACGGGTATTTAGCATGTAAGAAGTACTCGTTAAGGGCACCTGGGTGGCTCAGTTGGTTGAGCGTCTGCCTTCGGCTCAGGTCATGATCCTGGAGTCCCGGGATCGAGTCCCGCATCGAGTCCCGCATCGAGTCCCGCATCGGGCTCCCTGCTCGGCGGGGAGTCTGCTTCTCCCTCTGACCCTCTTCCCTCTCGTGCTCTCCATCTCTCATTCTCTCTCAAATAAATAACTAAAATCTTAAAAAAAAAAGTACTCGTTAATACTGTTTTATGAACGGGCAGAGCTGTTCGAGAATGGCAAAACTCCCTTATTTCCTATGCCCCCCAGATAGCCACAACTCTCCATTTATGCATCCAGGTTATAAGTCACATGTGGAAGTCTCAAAAAAGGAAGGAAAAATCCCCCTCTCCATTCCTTTGTCCCCCCCCCGCCCTCTCTAATTTATTTGTAGATCACCTATAATTTATATAATTAACTATGTGAATAAATATGAATATATAATATATATTGTATATTTAGTATATATATTTAATATTATAATATACATTTAATACATATAAATTTAAATTTAATATATTTATATATTTACATTTAATATATTTTATATATTTATATTTAATATATTTTAAATTTATATTTGATATAAATATATATTATATATTAAATATAAATTTATATAATATAAATATAACTTATATAGTTTATATTTTTGTGCATTATTATATATTTATATTGTTAGCACTTTAGATGAATCAACATTTTTTTCTTTGTTAAAAAAAGACAGGCATTTAAATTGTTTCCAGGCTTCTAGTTACAAAACAAATTCTTCCCTTTGTTTTAGTTTAATGTAGTCCTCACAAAGCGCCCAGCGATCAGTCATGATTCAATAATTGCATGCGTGGGAGTCCATTACCAAAGCTATGCTATGTAGCGTTATTGGAATCCACCAGGCTTTCTCGATGCTCCAAAATCAACCCTTTGGAGCGTCCTTCTCAGAAATGGAGCAAATCAGAACTTCCTGTAGAGTCAACAAGAGAGTTGACTTTTAAAGTTGCATGAATCCCGGGCACAATTCCGCTTCTCCCTGGTCACACGCCGTTTGCAGAAAATGCCTTTTCCCAGAGAGCTGTGAGGGACCATCCTGCCCAGATCCAGAGGTTCTCACTCACTAAGCTTCGTATTAGTTCTCGAAAGTTCCACAGCATCTCTGAACCTTCCAGTAGGCTTGCTGGAAGGGTGACTCCGCTCATCCAAGGCTTTTGAAGTTACAAAATTGTGGGACGAACCGATGCTATGGAAAACAGGCTGAAACATGAGACCTGGCGGATGGGTGTGGAATCCCCACTATAATTGCGTGATCTGTTTCTTCTGCCAGGCAGTCCATGGGCCTTGTGAGAAAGAATCACTGGAGAAAAGGAAAGAAAATAAGCAACAACTCTGGTTGCAGTTAATGCAATAATTAAATGGAAGCGTATGTTTAAATTGCAGTTGGAATGGGAAATTAAATTATGCAAAGGAGTGTTAGAGATTTGGACAAGTTTTCATACTGTTAATAAATCTATGCATAATTCATTTTCTTGTAGGCTATGACAAAATAGCATAAATAACTTCATTTGTAAGGCTGTGAATTTTCTATTCTTAATTGGGTGATGGCTAAAACCATTTCAGTGCTTCTGGATGACTGAATATATAAATGTTTAAAATGAGCAGTTATAATAGGTTTCTAGGCAGATTTGTTTATTTAATATTACTACATTTATTTTCAGATCCTAGCATAGTACAGATGTTGCATAAAGATTTCGCCCAATATGGTGTGAGTTGGATCTGATTTTTAAGGAAAGACATACTAACTCTGCTCTTGGAGAAAGCATTCTGCTACTCTTCAAGCAACTACTGCCTGACAGCCGCTGTACTAGTAATTTTATAAATGTTACCATTTCCTCCTCACGATAGACCTAAAGGCAGGTACGTTAGCCGCACTCAACTGAGAAGGCAACGGCCAAAGAAGGCAGGAGTTAGCCGGAGGTCCCACTGGCGGTTAGTGGCAGCGCAGTGGCTCTGACCCACGTATTTTGGTCTCTAAAACTTGCATTTTTTCTACTTCCTGCAGCCTCACACTATACACTCAAGACACTCAAGTGGGTTTAGCACCTGAGCATCCAAGAACCAGGTTGTCTTGTTAGGAGGGAGGTTCTTGCTGTAGCAATGGCCAAGCAGCAAGACCGAGTCCGAGCGCACCTGTTCTTTGGGAGCTCACAGTGGTCACCATTGTGGTGGCTGTTACGTGGCTCCCCGGGAGCTGTCCTGGGGCCAGGGAAACTCATCCTTGCCTTCATGCTGAGGAGCCTCCTTTGTAGAGGCAAGGTCTTCATTTCCAGAGGCACATGGGGACCACAGGCAGCCACTAAATGTATGATCATGGGTGGTTGCCTTGCAGGAGCATGATCTTGAGCTGCTCGGGTCCACGTGGCTCTGGATTTGCAATTCCAAATTTGAATTCCAATTCCCAAACAGGGAGCATGGCAGTCACTAACAGATGAGTACGTATTTGAGGATTTCTACAAGCACAGTGTATGTCTCCTTGTATGATGATACCCGTGTATTCACAGTGACCACTAGTTAAGAAGGTATTTCTAGATTAAGTGGTCAAACCGAGGGCTGTCACTTTTCCTCGTCCAGTACATTTTTCTGGAGGGAGAGGATGGTTAAGGCAATGACCTTGCTGGCTCCGTGACCTTGGGCAAGACTCATTTCTTCCTCTCTGCAATGGGCGAAAACAGTGCCTGCTTCAGGGTTGTGAGGATTGAAATAATTTTATAGAATGTCTGGTACATATTAAGTGTTCAGTACTTTTTAGCTATATTTTAATTCTCATGCTTCTGCTAGACCCTTCTCCTGGGACCAGGAAAAGTTAATGTACATATTAAAACAGAGAACGGGAATCAGCAGAATACGTCCACTCCCGCCCCTGCCCCGTTTACCACCGGTTAATGACTGACATTGACTAGGAGTTACTTTGGGATTTCATTAGCCCATGGTAAGGGTCTAATCTTCTGCCACTCAGGGAAATGATCGTCAATCCAAGTCAACGGTTGGATCCAGCGACCACGCTTCCCCTCAGCCCCCAAAGAGGAAAGGGAAAAAAGAGGAGGTGAATTTGGAAAAACCCAAGAAAGGGAAACAAAACGTAAAGTCAAAGAACTCACCACAAATAAGTCCAAACAGTGGTAAGTTTGTCCTTGTTATTATTATATTGTTTTTATGGATTATCATCTTAAGGCTTTGATACGATTTTAATTCTTAAATAGATCTGTTTGTTTCTCTGGACCCATGGAAGATGCTCCTTATCATTCTATAGAAGAGTTTTCAAAGACGATTTTTGTGTAGGAAAGATTCTTCTGTTTCTCCTACAAATTTCTGTTTGTAATTAGAGGTTGTGTACAAGAACACGTGCTTTGAAGTAAAATATTTCTTGTGGTGGTCTCGTATAAAAAAAGGTGAATCTTGTCATCCTTTCCCTCTATTGAAAGGGCTTGATTAACATGTTTACCAACTACTGTTGACATTGGTCTCTCCTACTTGTGTGGCTACAATCCTTGTTCACATTGATCACAAGTTACTTTTAGTCACAGATCCCTTTCTCCAAAAAGATGTTTTCCTAATTTTACCGATATCCAAGGGAATATGACACACCCAGAAAACATTACCAGTGGGACGTGTCCCCAAATTAGTTCTGTATCTTGCATCACCGGGTAAGAGATGCCATAAACTAAGTTTTTAAACATTTTCATCAGTATGAGATTTGTGCAGTCAGAATTGTGAACTTTCGTGGGAAGACTTTTCATGGGAACTTTTGGGAAGACAGGCTCTTTTTGGTTTCATTCCAAGCGTGGTGTCAGTGGGACGAGCCTGCAGGGGTGGAGGGGTGGAGGGCTGGCCATGCCACAGCCCTGTGCAGGGACTGCTTCTCCTTCACCCTGGGATCCCCTCACACACCTGCCGGGGGGACATGCTGGGCGGGAGGGGGGAGGATGAACGGGCTGTCATTGCAGATTCATGGCAGATTCTGTTTTCCACTTGGGAGCTTCAGCTTCTTTCGAAGTTGATGTGAAGAGTCACATTAGAATGACAGCTACGGTGGGCCTCACAACGAAGGGGACACATGAAGTCGTGGGGGTTCAGAGGATGTGGCAGGTGATGAAGGATTCGTGGGAAAGCTGCGTGAGACTAAGTGAGAGAAACAGCCTGCATGACGAGCCAGTTACAAAGAAGAGATAGAACAGAGGAGGCTTTGCATCATTTTGGTGATGGAGACCAGCTGGAGAAGGGCAGAGGGGGCTTTGCATCATTTCGGTGATGGAGACCAGCTGGAGAAGGGCAGAGGGGGCTTTGCATCCTTTCAGTGATGGAGACCAGCTGGGGATGGGGGGGGTCCTGGATTCTCCTTGCAGCTCTGCTCTAGATCTTGGGCAAGCCACTTAACTTTGGGGGGCCCCATCAGCTCTCTGCAAAATGTGGGCTCATATTAAGATTTAGCTTGAAGGTTGGTTATCGTTAAGTCTGTATAATCCCTCACAGATGATGACGAAACAGGGGAAGCCAGGGTCAAATGTGGCCAACGAATGTTGATTGAATGCATATTTTACGGCAGGCACCAAAGGAAAGAAGCTAGCCTGGAAGAATATGCCATACCTTGAGGATTTAAAATCATAGAGGCTTTATTTTAATCAGTATACTAGATTGTGAAGGCCCCAAGGCCCTGGGCTGGGTCTTCCTAGTTGTTATGTTTTTATCCGCAATAACTAGCTTGGGTCTGAAAGATACAAGACCCTTAATAAATATTGGCAAACAAGCACTGGAACATAAAACACAGCATAGACAGGTCACGGTAATGCTTTGAAACTCTTCACGAATATTTCTCATTAAAGCCTTTTGTAAAATGTGGCTTATTTTCCATGAGGCTCATCTTAGCATGTGAAAAATCCCAGTTCCTCCTCCTAGTTTGTATATTTTAAAGTCTTTAGTTTCAGCAGTTGCTTCTCAGGAGAAAGGGGACCTTCAGCTTGTCATTCTCATTTGCAGAAATTGCGTAGGATGAGGTTACACCCACAGTTTCCTCTTGCACTGGAAAGGAACCTTTACGGAACATCTAAATGATCAGTACTTTTGCTTTCATAGAAATTCTCAGTTTTCAGCAATGGTACCTGTGGGGACGAAAATAACAAGAAACACGTTGAACGTTGAGGCAAGTTATTATTATTATTATTTTTTAAAGTGCTCAGAAAAGGTGGAAAGCCATCGCTGTTCAACCCCTTGTCTTTGGAGAGCCTGGCAATTGTTTTAGATTATTGCCCACGTTAAGTGTCTATTCTCCAGTGTCGTTTTATAATGAGCGGAATGTAGGCTTCTAACTGCTGGACCTCTGGTGTCTTTTATTTTTTGTTTTTAAAGATTTATTTATTTGTCAGAGAGAGCAAGAGCACAAGCAGGGGTGAGGAGCAGAGGGAGAGGGAGAAGCAGACTCCTCACTGAGTACAGAGCCTGATGCAGGGCTTGATCCCAGCACCCTGAGATCAACACCTGAGCCAAAGGCAGACGCTTCACCAACTGAGCCACCTAGGCGCCCCCTGCTGGTGTCTTTCAAGAGACTGTTTGGGGGAGTGGAACCCCACCCCCCCCCGACCTCAGTAAGAAACTTAGGTGATCCAGAAGTGTACATAAGAGTTGAGATGAAGCATTTTGTATCTTTTCCTCTTGAGAGAAAGAACATATAACCTGGAAAATGAATCTTGGCTTCCAAAAACAATTTTTTTTCCCACGGAAAATGAAAAAAAAAAAGATTTTGTTCACTAGATTAAATCATCACTTGACAAATTTAAGGATATTAGCTTAAGTCCATAGTTTTGAAAATTGAGCTATTTCCCCCATCAGCTCTCCCTCCAGATGTCTTTGGCTATAGACATTTTCCAGATTATAGTATCAAATCTCTCTTTTTCTCGCTCCTTAATTCAGCTTCATATTAATTTATTCTCGCAGTTGTTTTTTACTTTAATGTCCTCTATTCTAGTAATTAGAACCAAGTGTGTGCTTTTGGATAGTCATATCTCAAGAGCGCTCTTATTGTCTAGAAAAGTAAAAGCAATAGGACTGTAAGCAAAATGAAAGGAAAGGTGTGTGGTGAGTCAAGATAATGAGTAAAAAATGCAAGAATTTAATACTGTATTGTATATTTGAAAGTTGCTAAGAGAGTAGGTATTAAAAGTTCTCATCACAAGGAAAAGTTTGTTGTTGTTTTTTTTTGTAACCGTGTATGGTAACAGATGTTAACTAGACTTACTGTGGTGATTGATTTCTAATATATACAAATATCGAATAAAAAATGCAAGAATTTGATGTTAGAGATGAAACATAGTTTTTTCTACTTACCTTAAAACTTACTTAAATCAAGTGATTTAAGTAAGTTTTGATTTAATTTGATTTAATTTTGATTGATTTAATTTTGATTTAATTTTCTTTCAAAGTGTTAAATTTTATAGTTAGGATGAATATCTAGATCATCTCATAACGTATGATAAATTGTGCAAAGTTTTGGTCCAGTGTTTGTTACCTATTTATGAAAATAGGTAGTTAATGAGAAGAAAGAGACTGTGTAGGCTATCTTGATTTTTATTATAATGTAGGCTGTAGTCATACTTGTCTTTCTTCTACTGTTGTTATTTCCTGATATTTGGGTGTCTAGTGCTATAAGAATGAGCAGTGCTGATATCTGTCTGTAGATGGCAACCTGGCTCTAATTTTATTTTTTTCTTTTGCTTTCCTTTTCCTTTTTTTTTTTCTTTCCGACTCTGTTTCTTTCCGTAATAGTAAAGCTTAATAATTCAAGCAGAGCTGTGACATATTTCTTCAGGGAAACAAATCCCATTTTCTTTTGGTAGCCGAGATGCAAAGTAAGATTGGTTGGTGATTGATGAAGTTGGGTGTGAAATGCATTTTTAGAGCTGCATTTAAATACCAGCTTAACTGGCCAGCCTGTTTTCCATACACTTTCCACTTGATTTGTGGTGCCTTGCGATACGTTTTAGAGGCTGTTAACTAGCTACCCTTTCCACCACGAGCAAAGTGGTAATGATGATTGTCTTGAAATAGTATTTTGGGATTGATTGTATTCATTGATATTTTAAATATTTTCTATGTGAAAAAAATTAGTGTCTTTAGAACCCTCGGAACCCAGGAAGTGCAGTGAATTAGGGCTCCTTAGAAATATTGGAAAGGCTGCAGAAAAAATAGGCAGGGCTGCGTTGCTGCAGCTTACGTGGTATTGATCATTACACTTTTTTTAAAGCAGAGTTTTTTTGTTTTTTTTTTTTAACTTTTTTTGCCTATATTTTTATGTTTTTATTATGTTCATAAAGCAGAGTTTTAAAACGCAAGCAAAAACAAGACTTGTTTTCTTTTGAAGGACGTTTGATTCTCTTTCTGTTTGCGGGTGTGAACGTGTGCGTGAGCATGCACGTGCGCGCACAGACGCGTGCACATACACACACACACACACACAGACCAGTATCCTACTTGATGCAGTTCCTGGCTTGTTCCCAGCATCAGTTCTGTGATAGTTCCTAAGGAACTTGCCACGTTTAGATTCCTGATGAATGATGGGGAGCAGGTGCAGCATCGGGAAGGGATGTCTGAATATTATGACCTTGCTGGGTGAGTGCCCTTGAGCGGTCATGCTCTTGAATTTTCTAATAGCTACACCCTGCACATGCTTTGCTGAGTTGCCCCCGGGAAGGAGCATTACTGCAATCTGTCCTGGATCGCAGGACTTTGAAACTTGAGCGGCTTCGGCTCAGCGCATGAACCAGCTCAGGCACTTACTTGTGTGGTTCCCCAGTCACAGGAGGCTCTGAAAATAGAACAAGAAGCACGTTTCCAAATGGGCTCCCCCAGGCCTCACCCTCTAAGGGGGATCAGGTACAGGAAGAAAGTCTATCAGAAGGCACCAGGTTGAGTTCACAAAACAGGGCACTGGTTTTGTTTAAGACGTTGCGCCAAGATTTAGGATTCCTTGGTGTCTGGTGCCGCCCCCTCACCTTTGGGCGGAGAAATGCAGGCTTCTCGAGAATTCCTGCGTCGACGGTGACTTAGCTCAGAAGCAGTGTGGACTGTGGGATATGGGTCATGTTTTACTACATCAAGTCCCAGGATGATAAAAATTTGTAAAGCAAGC